TATGCTGTCAGGAGCGGGGGCTTGGTGAGGATTAGGCACTGTGGTGTGGCCTGACAGATACATCCATACTGGGTTTCCTGTCTCTTTCATGGCTTCCTAGCCATTATGAAGTGAACTTTTTCTCTACCATGCCCTTTTGACATCTTGTTTCTGGCTTGGAACATGCTGATCGTGGACTGAAACTGTAAACTTCTCTTCCTTTAAATGGTAGGTTGAAAATAAAGTAAATTATAGATTGAGTATTCCCAGCAACTAGAAAGTAATTAAGACAGCTTCTCACCGTCAAACCATAACTATATTGGGTTAAATCCTAAGAGTGTTTATAGGAGGTGTGATTGATATATCCAGTGAATATTTAATTTAAAAACTATTTAAGATTGTGGAGGAAACATTGCCATTAATCATCTCAAAGTACTCTCCCTTGCTTCAAACACAATTGCTCCATCATTCTTGACACTTTTTAAAGGTTAATACTATTCATTTATGCTTATTTTAATTTTCTTCATTAGCGTGTGTTTGCAGTACATATTTTTTTCCCTTCCTTGTGAGGACTTGGTACAAATACATAACACAATTTAAATCCTTTCTTCATCCTCTTTCCTTCCCCTCTTCCTCTATCTCTTGATTCCATTCTGGGTTGAGAGAGATCTGGCTCTCTACTTTCTATTATCTATCTTTTACTTTGCTCTTTATATACTGGGTTTATCATATAAGAGAAATTGTGCTCTATTTAAACCCCTGTCTCTGATCTATTCTGCTTAACATTATGGTCTTATGGTGCATTTATTTTTCTGCAAATGACTCAGGTTTGTCTTTCTTTATGGCTGAGTAATAATTCATTACGTGAAAATACATTTTCTTTATTCATTTTTTTGTTGATCAACAAATAGTCTGTTTCCAAGATTCAGCTATTATGAATTGTCCTGCTACAAATATAGGTATGCATGTATCATTGTAATATGATGTCTAACTCTTTTGGAAAGTTATCTAGAAGAAATAGCTGGGTAAAATGGAATTTCCAGTTTTTGTTTTCCTGAGAAATCTCCATACTGATTTCCATAGAGATTGCAGTAGTTTACCTTCTCGCCAGAAATATAGAAGTATTTTTTTTCCCTGCAGCCTCACCAGAAATTGTTTTTATTTGATTTATTGTCTATAGTCATTATTTCTGAGGTAAGATGAAATCCCAGTGTTTGTTCAATTTACATTTCTTTGATGGATTATGGATGTTGAACCATATGTTTTATATGTTTATTGGACATTTGTTCTTCTCCTGTAATGTGTTTATTCATTCCACTGACCCCTTGTTTAATTAGATCTTTTATTTTGGAAGGCTACATTCTAAAGCAGTTTTGGAAGTCTCATTTTGTGAGCATCTCTAGTTGTGCTGCCATGGCTAACTTGATGGTCTCTGTCAATTCATAATATTTACCTTTCATGGTAATTTTAACTTTGGAGAAGAATTAGAAGTGCTTGATCAGATAATAAGATGGATTAGAACACACCACACCACAATGGTTTTAGCCTGTTTCTGTTGAATGGGATGCAACAGATTAATTTGCAGTATTTTACCACAATTTTTAAGGACACTCACAAAAGAAGACACCCACAAATGGTTCAGAAAGTTTCATCATATCACAGCTATATATGTACAATAGGAGAATTTTATTGCAATGAGAGTATTTTGAGAGGTGTTAATCGCAATGTGTTTTTTACTTTAATAGTATGTGTTTAGTTTAAACTTTCACTATGTTTTGAGGACATTTTATATATTAAATATATATCTATGGTATTATTGTAGAATATTATTAAAAAATTGCTGATACAGTATATATTTATACAAAGGGAAAATTTACTCATATTTAAAAATAATCCCATTGCATTATTTTTAACAGTTCTCTTTCACTTCTACTGTAGGTGCTCAGAAGGAGTTTTGTAGATAACATTCTTTTAATAATATCAAGGAATGTCTATCATGGTATTACACAATGGTGGTTTCAGGAAATAGCAATATCTATGAAATAATTATTAAAATAATTATCTCTTTACACTATAACAAACAGATTCCTATGTGCTGAGTAAAGAAGTAAACAAATACTCTAGATAAACCCTATGTATGTTAATGACTGAGATATTAGTGTGCTATGCTGTGCTTGTCAAAGAGACCAATTATTCTGCTTTACATAAATTGAAGCATAAGTTTAATTCCAGTTAATCTGAAAACTTTCATAACTGAGACAAAAACTAAACTAAATTCAGGTTTAGGTAAATGTCTATTATTTTAAAAATCTCTATGATTTTATTGAAAACTTTATATTCTTCTAACAAATATTTGTAAAGTAACTCTACTTATCAAACATTCCTTGAGAAAACTGGAGAAATAGGAACCCTTCTCCACTGCTGGTGGGAATGCAGAATGGTGAAACCACTGTGGAAATCAGTTTGGAAATTCCTCAGAAAACTAGGTCTAGAGGTCCCATTCAAACCAGCTATTGCCCTTCTGGGTATTTTCCCAGAAGATCTAAAAACATCATATCACAGCCATATATGTACACCTATGTTCATAGCAGCACAATTTGTAAGTGCTAAAATGTGGAAGCAACCCAAATGTCCATCCACCAAGGATTGGATAAGAAAATTGTGGTACTTTTATATAATGGAATATTACTCAGCTGTAAAGAAAGATAAACTCAAGGCTTTTACAGGTAAATGGTCACAACTAGAGACCATACTCATAAGTGAAATAAATCAAACATACATGTGCAAGCACTGCATTGTTTCACTAGTGTAAAACCTGAAAGAGTTAATTTAAACTCGGAGGTATGATAGACATTGTGAAATGATAGGAAAACACTCAAAGGTGAAGGGTAACTGGGATGTGGGAAAAGAGAAGGGAAAGAAGGAGAAAGTTTGTATGTATGTATATGTAGGATAGTTAACATGGCTGTTCTACTGTCTTGTATTTCTTTGCTGAAAGAAACTGTCAATGAGTCTTTTGTTGATCAGCATTGCATGTCTATATCTGTTTTCATGAGAAACCACTTTGAAGATATCAATATGCAATACAACAAACATTGTTAATTCCCTATCACTTTGTTTGTAATTCCATACTGTCTGTACTGTTCTTTTGTTATTTTGTAAAATGTTGTCTGTTAATGTTTTCCTCCTTTTATTTTTAAAATAAAAAAAAAAGGAAATTGGAGCTCATGTAAAATAGGAATGTGGTGTTTGCTATCCTAAACTGAAGTTTATTGAAGAGTCTGTAATGTTATAAGTGGGAACGCTGATTTCTAGGAAGATATTTGAGTGCTTTTAATTCAGATTTGGAAGAGGATAAAATGTTTCCAATAATTATAAAAGAATCCAGTTGGAAGGAGGAATGGAGTGAATGAGGTAGGGGGAGGCCAGTATAAAAGCAGTGGGGCAAAGTAATTACAATGCTTGAGCAATTGTAGTTCTCTTGTTAGTGTGTGAAATGCATGAAGTGAAGGAGAACTACATGAATTTGAAGAGCAAAGCAAAAGCCAGACCAGGAAAGACTGCAACACATAGAAGCAAATTTGTAGTTCAAAGATTCCAAGCAGTGAGAAAAAGTGCTCACTCCTGAGAGAATGTATTTTGCATTGTACACTGTAGAGATAGTACTTAGGTATGTGTGAAATTCCTTAGGGGAGAATAAAGCTAGTATGGTGTGCGCTCATCAGAGTATGCATTCTGAAGGTATTGGTTTAGATTTGGTTATCAATGCATCAGTGTAATGAAAAGTGATTCCCTTGTAGCATGGTATATCAGCACTGGACATTTATAAGTGGCAAGTGAAGTATTTTGCAGTGTAAATTATAAATGAATATTTCACACATAACATAGGACTATAGTAAAATATTTTATTAACTATGAAATAATATGGGTCCAGACAATTTAATAATTCATTTTATACTTTTTAACATAATAGGAAGTTCTGATGTTATTTCTAGAAAATAGTAATAATTTGTAAGTGTTGTACCTTAACGTGAATTCACATAATACAAACATTGTTTCAAAACACATAACTTTAAAAATTCACTTAAGTAACATTGTAATGTGTATAAATAATTGAGTGATTGCTATAAAACTATATAAAATGAAATATTTTACACTGTAAAATATGAAAAAAATTTATATGAATGACAAATGCTTATTTTAGTGATTTTGAAATTTTTCAGGCACATATCATTTAGAATGATATATATAGAGAGAGATATAGATTATAGATAGATGTAGATAAACATATAGATCATTCTCTCTATATAAATACAGATTCAAATTCAGGTCTATAAATTTAAAAATCCTAAAAGTTTGATTATATTAATAGTGGATTAAAACTTCAGAAATTTCACCTATCATCTTTATGGAAAGTAAGCTTTACTCTACAATCACCACATGCTATATATTTTTCATAATTTACAATTGAGAAAATTCAAGATTTGTATACCTATTATTTAACATTCATTGTTTTGCAGTCATTTAGATAACCTCAAAAATTTCACTGTATATTTAATACATTCATTATATAACAGAAACTTTATTTTTGAAACTCTGAGAGATATAGAATAACCAAAAAAAAAGATATAAGTTGAGTGCTAGAACATAAACATCAAAGATTTCACTTTATGCATTGTATATTTTAAAAGATTGCTGAAAATATTATGTCAATAATCTGTAACTGTTTGAAATCTAAATTTTAGTTTCAAGCAAAGACTAAACAAGCTTCCAGTAGGATTTTCTTAATGATTCTGCAGGCTCCTACAGGCAGATTTTAATATTAGTAAAAGCGCCATGATTTTATTTAATAATTTAAATAGAAGAACATCCCCAATTTTTTACAATTCACATATATCTCCCTTTACTCTGAAACCCCAAACATGCTCTCTATTATAAGGTTACATACTTGGATATATTTAAGAATTCATGGCACTGATTTTCTTTTTCATGATTGAAACGCTGAAGTGTTTTTCACTTACCTTGCCATCTGTCCTTCTTTGCGACCTACACCGTCAGCCATTTGGGCTCTGCTGAGGATCTTTCAGAAGCGCCATAGTCCTGTCCAGATGGAAGTCAGCTGGAAAATCCCAGCTGCAGCTGTGTTCAAACAGACTGTTGACAAGTGCCCTCTGCTGCAGACTACATGGCATTCTAATGCCTCTGATGACAGCAGCTGCTCTTTGGCTTATAATTTCTTGAAAGATATGTGTCATGTTGTTAAATTGTTCTGGTGTTCAAAATACTTTTATGAAACGAACATTTTAGTTTCTATGCTGATGGCTTCCAGTGTTTTCTTTTGCTAAGCATGTGCACATTATATCATTCATTTTATAACATTCGATAATTTTAAATTAACAGGATATACCAAAAGTATTAGTGTATCTTCTATGGGAAATTAGAGTATAAGCCTAGGGACCTCGTTTAAAGTACTTGATTTCTGAAAATTCACTTAAATTTTAAAGATGACATCATTGTAGTGTGAAAAAAGAGTTCCAAAAATTAAAATGCAGTATTTCACAATCACACAATTCTGATAATCCGTCTAGTGATACTGAACCTTTCATAATTGTCCAGCACGTTGTTAGCTGCACAGTTATTTTAAACGTTCCATCGAATTTGTAAGGAAACAAGATAGTAACAAAGAAAATAACATGAAGTACCACAGGTTAGGTTACAAATGAAGTGGTACAATGTACAGAGAAATATTAATGAAAAAGTATGATAATTGTAAGTATTTCTATTATACAAATTATTGAATCAAATTATACTTATTTTATTACTGTTTTGGTTTAAAAAGCTGTTTTTCTGAATAAATTACATATTATTTAGGGTGAGTTCTTTTCCTTTCCATGCTGATTAATGTTGCAAGTGAGCTGATAGCAGCTAAATGTAGATTGTGTCTCACTTGGTTTCATCTCAGAGAAAAATCAGGAGAATGTGGGTGTGGAAATTGGCATCGAAACCAAAAAGAGAAATGAAAAGTAGAGAAGTAGTCCAAGCAATGCTAAAATAAAACGAAAAAGAAAGCAAATGCAGATACACCGGTGGGAACTGTTAAAACACAGGTCAGACATAAAAACAGATAGGGAAGATACAGTCATGGAAACGGAATATACCACTTTGGATTTAGAACTAGAGAGGACCAAAAGTGGCCAGCACTGTAAGTGCAGCTGAGAAGGAAGACCAGAGCACGAACCTGTCTTGTAGCTAATTCCTGCTGTACTTTTCTGTTTTTTTGGCTTTTTTCCGGTACCGGGAATCGTACTCACGACCTTCCTCTTGCTAGGCAGGCGCTGTGCCACTGAGCTAAATCCCCAGCCCCCTGCTTTAGTTCTTAGCCACGCTGAGAAAATCAATTTCCATTCTGAACATGTGTCTGCCTATGTCAACATGAAATGATAATATCCTTTATCAAGTTAGCTTGTTGTGAAAAGTAAATATACAATGAGTGCAAAGGGCAAGAAACAAAATTATGGAAATGTTCAGCCCACGTTAATAGAAAAAAGTAACTCATAGATTTCAACAGGATACAAGGCTCTTCTATAAATGTCACTGAGAGTTAAATTAAGAAAATGACAAATTCCCCTGATCAGCAACCCATGAACAATATGCTGAATAAACAAGCATAGGGCATATAATAGATGCACAATAAAAATTTGTTAAATAATAGTAGAAATTCATGATTGCTGTAAAACCTTTCTAGGAAATAAAACATATCCTGCTTAAGATCTCTCAGAATGATATCAGAGAATTGAAAGTATTATAGAGGCTTGATTATTTTCTCTTTGATTATTCGGATGTCTAGATATGTAGAGGTCTTGTCCTGTTGAGACAAGGCACCCAAAGCACCACATTAAAGGGAATATTAAGGTTTGCAACTTGTTAGTGATTGTCCAGTTATCCACCCTGATGTATACATGGTGTATTCACCTCACATTTCCAGGATTAGAGGGGTGATTTCATATGATTGGCAATGTCTATTTATGTTCCATTTCACCACCTTAATGATGAAAAAGTAGATGATGAACATGGATGATGTGTTACATCTGAAGGACAGCAATTTATTATTTCCAAGACTTAGGATAATCAGAACAAATATCATTTGGACTTTGTAAAGGGTGTAATTCTTTCAAGAAGGCAAAAATGAACATCAGATTTTAGATGGAAGAATTGTATAGAGCACATACATTATATGTGTAGGTTTTGGATATGACAAAAACATAAATGTATTGGTATATCAGAGATTTAATTGGAGTGTTTTCAGTTACAAATGCTAAAGTTCTGGTTTTCTTCTTCAGGATACTTTTGCAGGTTTTTTTGAATCTTACCATCTGGGAGCTAAACTTCCTATCTCTTGGTAGTTAGTGTACCATAGATGAGTCCCTAGCATCCAATCTTCAGACCAATTCTATTTGTTTACACTTTCTGGAAGAAAATCTGCTGAGTTGGGATCTTTTTAAGAAATTTCTAACCTGGTCCCATACAGTAAGTTAATTAAATCCTCAGAATCCATGCAGCCTTACCCCTACCCTTGGTCATGCCACATTAACTTCCCAGTTCTATTGTTCCAAGGAAACAAATCTGAACTCCAGCTTTCACAATTTGTCAGAAAAATATCAGGCATGGAGTGTTCTGGTATTCTCCTCCCACCTGGAAAGAGGTAGGAGTTTAGGTGAGAAAGGTGTATACATTTTGTATTTTCTTCAAATTCTATAGTTCTTTAAAGAAAATCTGAATAATGTTCTGTACAAGGTTAATATTCTATTTGTTAAATAGAACTGGTAACTTTTTCAGCAACTCCCATTAAATCCTGCTAACATATTTCCTTAAAATATACTTGAGCTGGGTGTGGTGGTATCAGCCTGTAATCACAGCACTCCAGAAGGCTGGGGCAAATGACTGCAAATTGGATCCTAGTCTGGGCAACTTTGAAACTCAGGGACACTCAGGGCTTGGGTCCAATCCCCAATAGCACCGAAGGAAGAAAGGAAGGAAGGAAGGAAGGAAGGAAGGAAGGAAGGAAGGAAGGAAGGAAGGAAGGAAGAAATACATTTTTAAAAATATGTCACCCAACTTCTCTCAGTTTGACCTGCTCGTAATCTCAAAATGTGCACTTCTGCATTCCATGTGTTTCAGGTTGAACAATGATGCAATACAACTTCAATTTCCCCTATCCATGTATGTGTTAATTTTTTATCTTTACTATTTTAATATGTTTTATTTATTCTGTAGATGTGAATTTACTGTCACTATTCTGAGATTTCAAATTTATATCCACTCACAAAATTCTACCTACCATGCAGACACCCATTTGATTTGCATTTATCACAGGTAAATTTATTGTTTGTATGATTATTTTTATATACTCCTGTTAATAAATATCAAATCATATAAAGTAAAAAAATGTGTGTCCTCAGCCATTTTCCTTTTAGAATGAGAACATGCCTATCATCTGATAGTCACTTAGAAAAATGAAGGAAAGAAGTCACTTTACCCTGACATGGATTTTTAATCAATAATTATAAAATGTCCTTGAATGAGTAATAAACTTTTAAACTCTGAAAAGGCATTCTGCTCAGGCTTCAAATGGAATCTAAGTAATTTGTTCACTACTGAAGTGTCACTTAAAAACATCTTAAACATTACATTTAAAACATGTAAATGTATAAAAAGCCAAACAATCTCAATAACATTGGAAGCTAAAATTCATAAGCAATTAGTAATACCAAAATCTGAAAGGAGTTGACGCTAATTAAAAGCAGATGGAATAGGAACAAGATAAAGCCAACTAGTCATTTGCTTTTGGCATACTAACCTTTACTCTATGAAAGATGGAACATATTAAATAGGTAGGAAGGTACTGTATGCCTATCTGAATATCTGGTTTCAGAGTAATACCTGTTCTATTTTCTATGCAGAAAACCTGGTCTTCTTCACTATTTTGTGAGGGAAAGGACTGTTTTTTTTCCACTGTCAAAAATGCTGTCTCTGATATTTGATAATCAAAATGGTGTTTGAAATACAAAAATATAACCAGTTACGTAGAATTCATCAAAACAGTATGCAGCATCAAAGTTGATAAATGGAATAAACTGCAATGAATGTGGTATGGGTATATTTTTGAGGAAAAGGTACTGTAATTATACTTGAAGCAAGATTACAGAGGAAAAAATTGTCCAAGTAGCTGTGGAAGTTATGAATCAATATTTTCTACATATTGTGCAATAAAAATATTCCTGATGGGGATAGAAATAAGACATGAGTGGAATAGTAGATAAAAACTGTTCAATAATGAGCATTAGCTCAAGATGTATTCAAATCTGATATTAAGATGATACTATAATTTAAGCAATAAACCAGACAATACTGAGCAAGTCATGTATTCATTTAAGTCTCTGAGTAACAAAAGGTAGGTATTTCATCTGACTAACAGCATAGTGTGATTTCATTTCCCACATACACCTTCAATCATTTACATATTTGGCATTTGTTATAATCCTGGCCTTCATTTTCTGCCTTGCAGTACACACCGTAGTACCCAAAATGAATTGTGGTAACCTCAGTTGGATATATGTCTTCATTTTTCAGAATTGGTAATGAAGTTAGAAGATGGCTAATTAGAAAAATGTAATGCATATAATGAAGAGTAAATTAATCTAGGAAACCCAGAAGAAGCATTCATTTCCAAAAATTAAATCATTCAGATGCAGAATAAAATTGGAAAAGACTGACACAGCTATATCAGTACAAAGGTTTCTTTTTCTTGTATGAATTCAATAAGCTGTGTATGAAAGAGGACTGAATGGAAGGAGGCTTATCCCTAAGCTGAGACAGAGCAGAGGCGTGGGGAACACTGGGACCAAGAAAACTGTAATTTTTTAGATGAATTAATTATGTGAATAAATAATAATCAGAGGGCAGACATTAACAAGCTTTCCAAAATGTAGAAGAAAAGTGTAAAGGAGCACACTTTATGAGAATGAAATGATAGATATGAACAGGAAATGAGCCAGGATATGGAAAAATTATTACTTAGAGAGAGAAAGCATAAAATGATAATAATAACAACAATAAATGAAGAGATTCACAATGTATTTGGATGGAACCATGTTTATTATTTGAGATAACATAAACTGATGTAAGAAAGTAAAAATATGAATTTAATTTGCCATTTTTCTCTGAAAATATGAAGATATTAAAGTGTCTGTACACGATCTCCAGACAATATCATGAACGAATACTTTATGAATTGGATTCTTTCATGATGGTAAAATAGAATAGTCCCTACTACATAATATAATCTACTAACCAGTATTGTATGGGCTTTAAACTCCAATAGATTTAAACAAATAACACATGTATTTTCACGTCATGGGTCCAGATATTATTACTTTCCAGTATCTCCTGCAAGTAATCTCATGGAACATGAGATTGGAAAGCACCCAACAGTAATAAATCATCAGCTGCTAAGACAATTTTATATTGAAATTCAATAACTTAAGAGATTTTATTATTAAATAAAAGAGAATGTTATTGTTTCAAAAATTGAAGAAACATTTAGTTAGTAGATATCACACACACACACACACACACACACACACACACACACACACAATTGTTCTGTGGGTTAGAAACACTGGACAATTACTTACAGTATTATTTCCAAGAGTTCTAAATAAGGGACAAGGATTTTAAGGCTTGATCACTTAAGTATTCTTCCAAGAACATGTAAAGAGCATAGTATTTATATTATTTATTTTATTCGCACATGTTTGTAGTGCATAATGCTTACACTTGTTGGGTGGAGTTGATACCCGCACGGTAACACATCTCCATTTCATTTTTCATCATCTCCCCTTACCTCCACCCTCCTCTGCTCAGTCTCTTCACCCCCTTTCCATTTGAGAAAGATCTATCTTTCTCTATTTCTTAATATCTATCTTTTATTTTGCTCTGTATTTATAATTTGGTTTTCTCATATAAGTGAAATTATGTTATATTTGAGCTTATGTGTCACATTCATTTCACTTTACACAGTTTGTACTGGGGAAATATTACAGCCTTTACTCATCTTACAAAATCTGAAAATAACAGAGAAAAGCTTGTCTCACCTTTTGACACCCTACTAATAATTTAAAATCACAACTCTGTATGTTGGCAGATATTTTGTGGCTTTTATAGGTTTTGTGGACTTTTGTGTACGAGGCATGATTGAAAACTATGATGAATGATTATATCTTAAAAATGTGTTACAGTAAAATATTCATTGCCAGTAATGCTGACCAA